GTTATAAATTCTTGGCTTCACCTCTGTGGATAGTTATATATATTTTTCTGAGACTAAAATAAGGTTAATTGCAAATGATGGAATTATGATGTTAGTCTAGTCAAATAATCAAGTTAAACAAATAATCAATAAAATATGAGTTACTCTATAACAGGGGCAAAAGAAAAAAAAAAAGATGGTTTCTATGCTTAATTATTCCCTTTTGAAACTCAGTACGGACTGTTAGTTACCCTATACACACAAATTTTGCTTTTTTACTTATTTCAAAATGCAAAATAACTTTTTCTTTAACTTCCATCTATTCTACATTAGTATTTAAATCCAGCTTGTCTTACTTTTGTGGTCCTAAAGAAATAAGTCCTAACTTAGACATGAGCCCACACAAATAGATATGTGTACAAAATCCGATAAATTCTAATATTTAGAGCATGTTCGGCAAGTGGTCAATGTGGCTTATAAGTCACTTTTTTAACTTATAAGCTACTTTAGTATGTTTGGCAAATAGATTATTTTTGGCTTAAAAGCCATTAAATAATAAGCTAGGTACCCTATCTTATTTTTTGGTGGCCTATAAGCCACTAGGTTTGACCAAGTGAAAGACTAACATGCCCCTTACTATTTGACAAAATTTCAAACCTCATTTAATCTCTTTCTAACCCCATTAAATACTTTTTGGTTATTTTAACAATAATGATAGCTTATAAACTATAAATTTGCCAAACACTCTATCATTGATAATAGATTATAATCTACTAAATTTACCAAACACTTTGTCTTAAATCTACTTGGCTTATAATTAACACTTTGTCTTAAATATACTTGGCTTATAATTAATTTGGGGATTATAGGCCAAGTGGATTATAATCTAAAGTTACCAAGCATGCTCTTATGTACAGAATCCCAAGAAACTTGCACTTCAATGATGGTCTCTCGATAATTTTACTTGTTTTGCATATTATTTAAAGGCTCCGTATTCAAATTAAAAATATTAATATATTAACATTTTATTTTATTTTATTTTTTGCAATTTACCTAATTATAAAGTCTATAAGCAAAAGTGTAGCCTTTTTTCGAGATTGAGTAGGTTACACCCTGTCCACATGATGTATATCGTATCTTAGCCAACTATTAAGATCCACAAGAATATAATTTATGTTTTCTTCACGATGTTATATATATTGTTATTTTTTAAAAGAATAATGGTGAGTCTAAATCTTTCTACCCACATAAACTTGATTACATTCTCCTCTTATTATTTTATCTTACATCAACCGATATAGTCATTCACGTACCCTTTACTAGATTACCATCAATAATTTTTAATTAATAAAAAATAAAATAAATCACAGAATAAAATAATAAATTAAATAGCCAATTGTTACCCACTATCACGCTTAAATATGACTTAAGACAAAGTAATCTAAAGGTCATATGGTTATTTTGATCATGTTCCTGGTCATATTAATATTTTTATATCATTTATCAAATTTATTAGGTGGATGTGCTCTCCAAGCTACTTATATAAATACTTCAATAAATGTAATTTAATTCGACATATTTAAAATTAGAAACAAGTAGTTGCATTGCATAAGGTTATAACATATTAAAGACTATCAATTCAAGAAAGAGAGAAGATGAGAGATGTCCCCTACTTCTTTTTTGTTGTTCTAATTATAGGAAAGTGACGATGAATCAACAAACATCTTAGTCCTAATAACTCGGGCGAGTAAAAAGCGCAGCCCACATCCATACAAATGCCTTGTGAGATGTCAGTAAAAAAAAAGATAAAAATAAAATAAAAAGGGTTATTCTAGTCCCTTTCATCTTTCATATTTTTAGATTCGCTTCACAAATCATGGAGATCGCCATTAGATCCTAAAAATATATAAGTTGTTGAAATTTGCTTCCTAATTCCCAAGCTAGAATATTGGTTACATCCTTTTTAACAAGAATAAGCATTCTATCAGAACCATCCCTGTAGGAATGAGGTGGTTTGCACCATAGATGGAAGGGCTAAATTTTCCAAACATGGTTAACATGCTCGATGAAGTTTGTAAACGGATATATTAATTTCATATCTTAATTGACTTGGGGGATCAAATATCAATTTCAACGATGTGAGGCGCTGATCATAAAACACGAAAGATATCGGGGGGTAGCGTCGAAATGAGTGGTCCGAAGTCTATTTAAATAACCTCAATCCGGTCTTCGTCGTCTGTTCGTCTCCAATTCAACAATCTCACAGGAGACGACGGCGACCCATCTCGAGTTACGGCGAGAGATTTTGACGGAATTGGAAAGGAAGATTCAAACTTTTTCGTCTTTCTAGATCCCTCGTGCTCACCTCTTCTTCCTCCTCTCTCAAAGATCTCTTCTTGAGCTTTCGAATGAATCCGAACCCAAATCCAATGGGATTGGCGCAGCTCATGTCGACAATCAATTGGGAGGAGGAATCTTATCCGAACTACGAAGACTTCACCGCGCTCCCCTTCCTCGTTGTCTTCTTCCCTACAGTCAGATTTTTTCTCGACAGATTCGTTTTCGAGGTAATCTTTTTTGAGCTGATTAAATTTTTATCTATTTATTCATCTTTGATCTGTTATTTTTAGTAGATAGTTGGTTAGAAAATGGTTGGGGTTTGTTGTAGAATGTGAGGTCCGATCTGGAGCTAATTTGTGTTGATTGATAGTTTGAAACGTTAGTAAAGAAGATCTGAAAGCAGATGATAGACTATGCCTTGAGATATAGAGCTGTGCAAGCATGATTATGTTTATATTTGCCGTTGACCTTCAAATTTAAGCAAGCATTAAATGTGCTCCTTTCTTGCGTTCTTCTGCCTTTGGGAAGTATTCAAGTGTTTATAGACATGATATAGGCAGAAAACAGTGATTATGAAAAGAGAAACAATCTTATGAATCGTGTAGACATAGATTGTTAAGAGTATAACACTCGACCGTCATGAGAACCTCAGAGTTTTGGTGCAGTAGAAGGGTCATCTGTCATAGTTTCATAGCAACCCAGGTTCAATTCTCACCCACCAGGAATTTAAAGCGGATTAAAAAGGAAAAAAAAAACGGCTTCCTGAGTTGAGTTTTCAGCCGCTCAACCTGCAGGGACATGTTAGAGCATAAACTATAACCCTCAACCCTCATCACAGCTTCAGAATGCTTCAGAATTTTGGTGCAAGGGAAGGTTCTTTTGCCACAGAAAATTTTAGAAGACAATTCTACTAGAATCTTAAGCAATGAAAATATGCACCATTAATTGTCTGCACAATTATTTCTTACCCTAAAAGAGGATGCAAACTGAAAAGATATGTTCACTGCATATGTAAGTTTTGATGTGATTCAAGTAGATGCTAAAGCTAGAATGATCTCTTCTTCAAACATCTTGAATAAATTTCTGTTTAATACTTGATTTTCGCTCTATGTAGATTGGACATGATTTATTGTGTATTGAAGTTCCTATTTCTAAAATTAAAGAAATTTATGGATTGTCATCTATTTCTAAATTAAAGAAATCTCTGGATCGTCATTAAGGAACTAGCTCATAGAGTTTATCATGGGAAAACAAAGCTCAATGGAAATAGATTGTTTTAGCTTCTATATCAAAACCAACAATCTGCGAATTCTTTACATGATTTTGTGATGGTTTGAGAACATCACTCTCTTTGGAACAAAGAGCAAGCATATCATAAAGCTATAAGTTAACCTCTATGTTTAATATAGATGATCTGGTGTCAACCCAAGAGCTGAGTTACTTTACATCTCATCTAGGGAAAATCTTATATATATGTCTCTGTGTGCATGGGTGTGTGGGTGTGGGTGTGTTTGGTTTTTGTGTATCTAGGTACTAGATTTAACATGAGATATATGTGAATGTTGGGAGGACTTGATGGTGGGTTTAACATATACCTTAGTTGTAGAAAACTTACAAATTTTTACTGCTGCTTTATGAATATGACCGTTAGCTTCCTCAGACGTTTCTATGAAATGCATGCCTAATAACAAGTAAAATATTGTCAACAAAGGGTTCATGTTTGCTGCCTTTTGTTTACCGTATCTCAAATTTGGAAGCCATGAATGTGAATATCTTCATGTGTTGCGAGTGGACTGTAATTCAACCGCTATATATACCATAACACAGTAACACTGTGTATGCACATAATTTTCAATATTGTCACACAATTATTTTACACTAAACCTTGTTTTCAATATTTATATGAGATGGAGGAATGGAAGTGGTGACTGCAATATCCAGAGTCAGACCGTATAGATGAAACCAAAGAATTCCTTTTATGCTGTTTGTGATATATGTATTGCAGTAAACTTTATTAATACAAATTTTGTCTTTTTAGTATACAGAGCTAAAAAGTGGCTAGAGCAGCAACTAGTCCTTGTCCTATGAAACTGATGAAAACATAAGATTCTCAAAGGGAGCAAATAGGAAAATGAAACTAGCTATTGTTTATGTTATTTCAATATTACTAAGTTTACGCACTTTAGCAAATGGAGCTACAAGCATTTTGCAATACATTGCTTCAGAGATGTATGCAATACATATGTAGAATAACTCTGTGATTCAACCTCCTTATGAAGTATCATGTATGGCCCTCCGAATGTTTGTGTGCAGGGAAACCGGATGATCTTAGCTGATGTGAACTACCAGTTTCAGAGAGGCTTAGTAGACAAAAGCGAGTATTATGCATCTTGACCTCCTAGAATGAAAATGATGAAGTATTGTTGGAAAGTAGAAATTACGGAATTCTAATGTTCCTCAGCATTTGTTATGTACACATGTGGTGGACCTCTTTTTAAGTGGATGCTCACCCTGCCAACCCTTATCCACTTCCTAGTTCTTTGCTATGACAAACCCCTCAGGATAAACAAATATCAATCAGATGAAAGCACAGAAAATAACAAGAACACAGGTAACACACGGATATATGTGGTTCGGCTTGTAGCCTACATCCACGGGTGAAGGAGGAGAATAGCTTCACTATCAGATTGTGAGGATTACAATGTAGAGATCTCTCAATCACTAATATCAAATCAACACCTAAAGGAATCTTTCTAAACAATCTCTAATGCTTGTAGAGCCAACCAAATAGAGACTCAATTCAAGAACATCTTGAATCTATTATTTCAGTCTGCATAGCCTTCTCAATGCTTGATCCTACAATCTCTCTCGATAGAAGGAAGAAAAGAGAGCCATGCCGAATAAGCCGAATTATTCTTCATGGCTTAACAAAAAACAATGTATTTTCTTTCTAGGTGCAGCCTGCAATGTTAACTAGTTTCTCGATGTTATTACCTGCTCGAACTCATGGGTGTTTTCTTTGATACCTGCTTGAACTCACAGGTGTTTTCTCACCAAAGAGACTTCACCCTCTATTCTGCATATTCTTGCTATTTATAGATAAGGACTAGTAACATGGTAAGAATATTACTCTTAGCCTTTGCAATTCTCATCCAACTAAATTTCCCTAGTTATAAGAAAACTTTTCTTATCTAACAACTGGTAATTCAATTTTTAAGCAAATATAACCAGTGAGCTCTGGATCAAAGACCAAGTCAAAGAAACACCGAGATCGATATTTGAGTCACACATAACTTTCTTGCTCTGTGTGATAGATTGCAACTTATGTAGGATCAAAGTAGCGCACACTAACTTATATTAACATCTGTTTTTGGTACCTTGCATGCTAAGGAAATTAACTACTATAAGTTGAACCATAAATTTTATATATATTTTACTGATTATATATGTGATTCAATGTTAATAAAGTTGTTACCTCATTTTTTTTATTGTACAAAAGCTTTCTAAATAATCTAAATGCCTGAAAATCATTGTACCTTCACCTTGACCAATATTCAATCTACTTTATTCAAGTTAAATTCTACTTCTCCAAATTCTAAAGCTTGTTTAATGATTGCATAAAATATGTAGAATTTCATTATTTTTGTCCTTGGAGAAGTCGATGACATCGTTTCATCACCTATTCACTATGTGTATCACTATTTTCGTAGAAAGTGGCACGGAGGCTTATTCTTGGCAAGGGACATGAAAAACTTAATTGTGAGGTAGAAGACAGGAGAAAGAAGATTAACAAATTTAAGGAATCAGCTTGGAAGTTTGTTTATTTTCTATCAGCAGAGTTTTTGTCTTTCTCTGTTACGCATGGTGAAGCATGGTTCACAAATACGAGATACTTTTGGGTAGGACCTGGTGAACAAGCCTGGCCTGAGCAAAAGATAAAGTACACATTCATAGAAATCTGTACATGTTTTACGTCAACTTATTCTATGATGTTATCCGTATATATCTGTTGATCAACTTTTTACATTCTCTTCAGATTGAAACTTAAAGCTGTTTACATGTATGCTGCTGGATTTTATACATATTCCATATTTGCCTTGATGTTCTGGGAAACACGACGGTCAGACTTTGGAGTCTCCATGTCCCATCATGTAGCAACCGCTGTGCTTATAGTGCTGTCATATATATTCAGGTTTGTCCAATGGACAGTGAAGTTATTTAAGCTCAAATCCTCCCAATTTTCAGTCAGCTATCCTATAATTTTTATGGTTGCACCTCTGAGATATTATTTGTTTGATTCTTTTAACAGGATTTCAGTTTCAGTTTTCTAACTCATGAATACTTGTTGAAACTGAATAAACATTTTTTTAATGAATCATTACTCTGAGATCATTAGTGGTTAATGTGACGGGTATAAGGTTCATTTTGGGACTTTATACTCGTAAACATTGAAGGTAATGGAGTAAGGAAAAAAAGGCAATAACATATAGAGAACAGTAAGGAGGAAAATGCTGGTAGTTCATAACTTTTGTGAAACTGCACTGATCCTGTCCCTTTATTTTAGTGTTTGGCTCCCTTGACTGTGCACTGATCCTGTCCCTTTATTTAGTGTTTGGCTCCCTTGTCTGCTGCCCACTAGTCAGTCCAGCCACTATTACGTTAGATGTAAATGCATAGTGTTGTTTATACAGCTACTTCTTTCTAAATTGAATTTCAAATAGTGCACTGAAGATACTGTGATGTTTCAACAGGCATTCATGCATTTGGTACATGTTAAGAAGCTTTTCATAGTCTGATTATTATCTTTTTCATTTTTATGATCGTAACTTTGGCACATGTTGAGAAGCTTTTGCAGTATTCATAAAAACCAATGGTACCAAATTGCTAAGGTCACAGATAAACTAATTCAGTCAGTAAACTTGGCTATTTCCCATGCATCTTTGGCTGCTATAACACTATGATTATTTTAACTATAATCCATTCATGACAATTACAAGTATCATCTCTGATTATGTTACATGGGTATAGTTACAATTTACAAATATTACCTGTGATCCTGGCAATTGTAAATATCATCTATTCATTGTCTTTTTAAAGAATCAGTAAACCGTTTCACCAATTGATTGGAATGTGATTTTGTTGCATGAGAGCAGACTTGCCACTGTGCTATAGTGGTACTACACTACATGGGAGCATGGTCACTTTCTTGGGAGTTTGTAGGTTCAAATACCATATCTATCTGTGATTTGTCATTAATAAGGAGATGGATATAGATCATAATGATTATATTAGCTGTTAGAATTCAAATGCAAGTCTCATAAATGATTTATTTAGCTGTTACAATTCAGATGCAAGTATCAAAACATGGAACCCCAAACTGTCCTTATGCTTAATGCATGCCTAATTATACTTATTATGTACAAGTTGTCAAGTTTTTGTTTGAGTTTTCTTATGCAATAAAGCCTAAATGGACTTGATCCTAGATTATAAACACCAGAGATAACTGCATTCTAGACCTGAGGGAGATATGTGTAATCTCCCTTCAGTGTGCGTAATTAATTTCAAAACCAAATCCATTGATTCCATTGCTGAAAAAATTACTGATGCAAACTCGACAATGCTACTGAAACCACTCGTCCTGCTCGGACATCTTCTGAAAGGGTAAATTTTATGGATTAAAATTATGTACATATGCGCTGTGAGAATCAATGCTTGTTGATCATACTACACTGCCTTTAATTTATCTTGTATTTTCTAATACTAGCAATTGTTGACTGAGAGAACATTTGTGTTTATGCTTTGGCATTCTTGGTTTTATACAGGTTTGCCCGTGTTGGTTCAATAGTTCTAGCAATTCATGATGCAAGTGATGTATTCTTAGAAGTGGGGAAAATGTCTAAGTACAGTGGCTGCGAATTGCTTGCTACTATCTCATTTCTTCTTTTTGTTTCTTCATGGGTATTACTGCGTCTCATGTACTTCCCGTTGTGGATACTTCGAAGTACAAGGTAAGTATAGTTGGCTGGATGCAGGAACTGATCTTTATTTTAGTTTTTTTGTGTTACTTTCTTTCTTGCCAAGAATTTGGAATAGCTAGATCATGCTAAGAAAAATACCGTATAAATCTCACAGTTTGAAATTAGAGGAGTGCTGATTGCATATTACTGGTTTGTATATGAATATTTTAACACCAAGCAGTTTTCTTAGGTTAGGTCTCTGTAGTTTAGATTCTGCTTAGTAACTTTTGTGGATGAATATTTTAACACCAAGTATCTTTTCCCTGTGTATTGGCAGTTATGAAGTTGTACTGACTTTGGACAAGGAGAAGCACAAGTTTGAAGGCCCCATATACTATTATGTGTTCAATACCCTTCTATTCTCATTGCTTGTTCTCCATATCTATTGGTGGGTATTAATGTACCGGATGGTTGTTAAACAAATTCAGTCCAAAGGGAAAATTGGTGATGATGTCCGGTCTGGTATGTGCTATTACTGTTAATTTTATTTTTTGTTAGGGTGCACCTTGGATGAAAACGAAGAGCTCGAAATGCACAATATTTAAGCAAGTAGCATGATTTCGGTTCACAGCTTTGCATTTTGCTTTATTAAAGTATATCTTCCATTCTATAACTACAACTTTCAGTCTAATAATTTCTTTGAACGTAAGCATTTTCTTTTGTGATTTGGACCTGTATCACTGAAAGAAACTTTTTGATATTTTCATTCGTTTGAAGTGTCATATGTTTGTGAAAGCATTCTTCTTTTCAGTTTTGAACCTATGAATGTTTTACTCTCTATGTAGATTCCGAGGGCGAAGATGAACATGAAGATTGATATATCCAAATGCTCGTCAACCTGGCGCTTCTTTCTGGTCATCAACGTCATTAATTCTCATATATTTATTGTTTTCTGGCTCATAGAACTCAGATTACACAGAAAGCAGCTCGACCGCAAAACTCAGCATCATCAACATTTGACGAAGCTGCATGTATTTTCACTTGTATTCCTTGAATTTGTGAGTCCTCTTCACTGGTTCGGAGCTCCAAGTGCACTTTTGTATATTAATTTTAGAACGCAGATTTGGACATAAGAAATTAGAGTAGTGCTGATTGCATATTTACCGGTGTTTTATTGAACGATATCTGCATGTTGCAATGTCTTTGTTAAAGCCCTTCCACTGCATCACAACATTGAAGTTGCGGTGAAGGTTGAGGGTTGTAATTTTATATCCTAACATGCCTTTGTAGGTTAATCGCCTTTATGGGTCAAAATATGAACTTGTGCGATGATGTCTTTTTCTTAAAATTTGTTTTTAATGTGTCCCGTGAGATTTGAACTCGGGTTTGCTGAAGTATCACCTTAATGTTTGTTCCGCCGCATCAAACTTTCGAAATTATGGCGATGTAACTTTATCCTCTCAGCTTTTTAGAATAGAAGTAATATTTATGCTAATGAGAATCTCTTAAGGTGCAACAAAATCTCTGAAGCTGTACGACAAAATTTTGAGCCTTGAGGCCCTGAAAAATGTGCAGCAAGCGAAGTTGCTTGCAGATCGTTTTATTTTTTTTCTCTTTTGCATTGTTAGGGATAACCGAGTTTCCAACAATTTCATCGCTTGAATCCTTTGCATAACGCCAGTGGACGTTATTTGATTTTCTGCAGTCATTGTCTACAATGTTCTACCCTATCACAGTCTTGTGTTTTATGGCTGTAGGGGAGTACTTACTAGGAAAAATGCAAAATTCGTGCATAAAATCAGTAAAAGGTATTGATGCTGCTTTTGCTGCTATTGGCTATGTTTATTGATCTTTTGCCACAGTATCTACTACGGAAAAATTATCGCTTTGATATTTCAAAATATAAAACTAACGCTTATCTAATGTCTTAGAGACTATCAACGCGGTTCTCAGAAAACCATTAAAAATCTTGAAAGGAAAATGGAGAAGAAAACAGCAATAGACTGAAAGCGCAGTAAGTCAAAATGAATTAAAAAAAGTCAGAGAAGACAATTGACAAGCAAGGAGGTCTAGAAAATTTTGTTAGTTCACAAATTTCTTTCATTATGGACCCCTTAAAAGTACAAGTGAAATTGAAGCAAAAATTTAGGATGTTAATACTTCACAGGACTGACCAAAAGACGGATGAGCGCAGTCTCAGCTTTTCTTCGAGATACAATTTTGTTGTCAATTTATTTTGGTCAAGAAGAATAATTGTACAATGAGCATATAACAACAAGAACAATAGTTCATAGTTTTAATTAATACTCATTCATCTTAGGCCTTATTGTTCATTTTGATGGTAGGAATAGCTGGCTGTTGCTGTGTAATGCAGTGTACATTTCCACCTCCCAGACATATCTCTCTTGCAGTTTGAATCATTACCACCTACACAAATTACCCAATTTATAGAAATCAATACGTGCTATAAAAAGTTTGCGCAAATCTAGCTCGTTAACCCAAAGGAAAAAAAAGTTAGCCTGAGCAAGAAAACAAATTAAACTCCGTAATTATGGTGAATGCAGCATCACCTAGCATGACCTGAGAACTTACATGTTAATGGGCATGGAAGAATCATTTATATTCACCAACATGTAAATGATGCTTAATGATGATATGTATTTTAGTTGGTTTGTAGCGAAATTTGTCATACCTTGTGTTCAGGAAATGCCGATGAGAGGACATGAAAAGCCTCTTTATCCCACTTCTCATCACCAAAAGCTGGTGCAATGATTCCTCCATTGGCTATGTAAAAGTTGACATAAGAAGCAGCTAATCTTGCACCTGCTAATCTTGGTATTGCAGTCTCGTCCTGTGGTTTAAGTGAGAAATGAAGATAAGACGTTGCAAAACATTTCAGCTGATTTCATATGCCACTAGGTTTTCAGAACATTATAATTTCAGTAACCGCTATATTGTAAAGCATTCACCACTATAATAACAAATAACGAAATTAAATAATTAGTTCAGTTCTGCTGTTAGATGCTCATCAGCGTTTGGTGCTTTGAAGTAGAACCCTCTTTATGTCAAAGGGACGAATCAGGGGCTTCCATTGTTTCTTCAAAGCTTAGCCAAGCAATCAAGATTTGTCTTAAAAAATGATCAAGGTTTCTATCAGTAGGGTGCTTGATACAACATCCAAAATTTTGAATGCAAGTTATTCAGTACACGAGCATTTAGCATTTGTCAGACTACCGTAAAGTGTTCTAAGAATTCTTTCATACACGAGATCTCACTTCTGTTAATAGCCAGAAAGGCACAGAGCACACAACTTTTGCTCCTTTCCTGATTAGATTAGGACACAAGTATATTTCATTTATCATTGAAGAAAACCAAAAAAAGTAGTTATTTTCGGTAGAGGATTCTCTAACATATGATGAACTTGGATAGAGAGGCTTCCCTGATGCTATGTTTTCTTTATTTCTGGAGAAGTACATGTAGCAAGTATAAAATCATACAAATTACTAACAACAATGCATATTTATCAAAAAAGGTGTTGTTGAACTCAATAATTAAGTCACAAGATACTTCAATAACTTGAAGGTTAAAACATACTGACCACATTTTGAATTCCATTAGCTTCTTCATCAGTCATATAAAGTGGACCAGGCACGTGAAGCTTTATTACTTCTATTTTCCGTCCATTAGCATCAGTTGCGCTTGAGAAAACTGACAAAGCCTCAACTGAACGCTCATACTGAGGATCCTTTTTGTCATCAGTCCATGACAAAAGAACAACAGCAGGTTTAACAAAACAGCACAAATTGTCAATGTGACCATTGGTATCGTCATCACCTATAAGCATAATGTGAATAAGAACTCCATCCAATACAAAGATTAGTCTAGAAGGGTTACACCTTAAAGAGGACATACAAAAGCATTCCAGACTAATCTAATACAAAAATAAAAGAATTAAATTTGAGACAAATCTCTCGGTTGCAAAAGTCATCCAGAGTAAAAGAGAAGCTAACTGAAAGGAAATTTTTGGAAGAAGAATCAACACATCAAGAAGTTGTAAGATGACCAAGCTTTGAATTTTGTAAAGAACAATCAAAGGATTTTATCAAGTTTCCGAGTTCCATTTAGTCATTAAAAGATGGATTTGGGCACAAGGACATAGGGAGGAAAATATTAAAGAAATGAATATAATTATTACCATAGAGTCCTCTAGGCAACCAAATGACTTTTCTGACACCAAGGTACATCTTCAGTTCATTCTCTATTTCTTCCTTGCTCATATCAGGGTTCCGATTTGGATTTAGTAAGCATTCTTCAGTTGTGATGCAAGTACCTGTAGACAATACAAAAAAGGAGTCACAATAGTGCAGCAACAAGTAGAAAGCCCCTATCTCTGTTCTTTAACAATTAAAACAGGTTAAGTAGCAGCAAAAGGAAAGAATGTCATCAGGAATCCTAGACTAATGTATCCTTCACATGCTTCATATTGAAATTAAAGTCGGTCCATATGAGAGGAGCACACTACAGTATGCTGATCTTCAAGCTGACCATATGAGAGCTGGGTAAATGTGCAGGCTCATCTTACGCCAAATGGGTGCCACCACCCATTATTGGATACCATCAGGACATAGGTTCCACGACTATTTGACTAAAGCACGTACTCATATTTGATACGAACCTGAGTACCCGAGTATCAGGTATGTACCACATAATTACCGTATGGTGTAAGTGTCACGTATTACCTGCTGGATATACATGTATTTAAGTATCAGGTAACAGAGTGGATAATCATATGGTATACTCAAGCATGTCAAAAACTTAAAAATGTTGCATAATGATAGTTCTAGAGTCTCAGTTAACTTATACAAGCACGAATAATGGTTTTTATCTCTCCACGTTAATTATCGCTAGATTTCTAATGGTTCAAGGTTAGATCTTCATTACGTTCTCTTCTTCTTTCTCCTTCAATCAAAACCCATGTAAAAGAACCAACAAAAGTTCCCCTCTTCATCCTCCTTCAACCAAAATCCATGACAACAGGTTCCTGGGCTATGATTTTCTAGATCCTACTATCGATACAACTACATGAAAATGATTCAAGATTCGAGCACAAAAAGTTGATACGTTAAGAAATACCTTCTCCATCTACATGAATGCTTCCACCCTCGAGAACCATCTGATGCGGAAATCTAGGGAGCCTCTCCAAGCCCAAAATCTATAAACAAAAGTTATAGATAGATTATTGACTATAAGATTAAGCATATATCACCAAATACAATAAGTGACCTTGATTCTGAATGGAAAAAAAACTTCGCCAACCTTTCTGCCAACAAGAAGATCAAGACTCCAATCACTGTAACAGCCTTCCGCAGGTCCTAAACCGAGATAAACCGTAGAAAAATATTCAGTTAAGACTGATTGAATCCGAGAAGAAGGTGAACTAACGAGCGAGTTTATACAATAAATAAAATCAAAACATTAGAAAAAGAGACCATATGTTCTGGATGTATACAAATTCTCATTGAAACGTGAGCTAAAGTAGTCAGCCCAATAGTACATTAGTACTATTGAAAGCCAACTATTAATATTTTATTTTATTTTACTTTACTGCAATGTTCAACTGCTACAACCATCCATGCCAAGTGTGTGAAACAATTAGTAAGCACGAAATGTGTATGTGTTCAATTGAAAGAAATGAAGGAGCAACAAGACCATTATATAGGGAACAAGCAGTGCATCAAGACCATAGACAAAACATCAGTGATGATAAAAGAATGGAAAAATATATGAGGTAATTGTGGTTTAAAAATATCTTAATGGATATGGAAAGATCACTCTGGATTCAAATAGTACAAGGACTCAAAAGGAGCAGCAATGCATAAAGAAAAGAAAAAGGTCAAATGTGTATAGACAAAAGGATAAGGGTCAGCATAACAATTTCGTGACAAAGAGCTCCTTAATTAAGCTATATATTATATATAACATATCACAAACAAGTTTCTCAGTTTCATACTCTTTGCAAAAATTACTGGGCCAAGTCATGTAGTAATTTTAATGATTACTCCGTGTTCCACCACAATCTAAGGGTTTTCCCTTCAAAAGGGAAGTTTCTATAAAGAGCACATCCATAAAAAGGACACAGTACTTAGAATACAATTGTTACATTTCCATCTGTATGTCACAGAAAACATCTACATGAGAACATAAAATCTTTGGTGCCTAGAAAATCAATGATCACTAAATGAAGAAAGAAAGAGAATACTAATTGCAAATGTATCTTATACCTCCCCAGCAATTGAAAGTCCAGGTGATCCCCGCAACCCGGTGTTCTTTGGGAATTGATTCCTTATCACAGACAACAAACTATTGTAGGCATTTATCAGATATAGGGTCACAATTCAATGCCCGTAAACAAATGACAGAGTAAGGATAAATAAGCTTACAGTGGGTCCAGAGTCACGAAACCAAGCATCATTCATGCTCATCTCCACAATTCTTATGTTCTTTCTATTTTGCAATAAATTGCACGCCGTCTCATACTTCAGCATTAAATTTCACATGGAAAAAAGAAGGGGAAAAAAATCAAACTACTATAGAGTTGAGATTGTACCACCCACTAAACAATAAACACTTGTAATAAATCAAAGGACAAAATTTTAAAAACAACCCATTTTTAAATTTAATGAGCAAAATCGACCTTTTCACAAAAAAACAGCAAAAACGACCCTTTTCATCTCAACTTAGATGAAAAGGGTTGATTTTGCTGCGTGTAATTTTTCGAGCATGCTAATCAAGGATTAGCATGCCAAACCAAATGGATGAGACTAGTAGTCCCGTCCATTTGAGTATATTACCTCAGCCCGCACGTGACCCCTCCCTCCGACCTCAAACAGATCCCGCAACTCCCCGAGTCGTCTTCCCCCCCCCACCCAAATCTCGCAACCCCTCTCTTTCCCCGCTCCCCTAAATCTTCGCGCAGTCCCTCCCCTCTTTCCTCCCTCAGATCTCGCAGTCCCTCCCCCTCTTTCCTCCTTTCATAATCTCCGACCCATCGGCCTCTTTCCTCCCCTCAAACACATCTCGCGACCCCCCTCCCCTCTTTCCTCCCCTTAAATAGATCTCGCGCCCCCCCACAACCCCACGATAGATCTCGCGACCACGCTCTCCCCAGCCTCCGTCCGCGCTCGTGACAACAGGCGCCTTCAACCCGCTTGCGACCACAGTCATCTCTGACCACATCAAACTCCAATCAATGTAAAAAATTTCGCTATTTTCTTGTGAATTTGATGATTGATATGGAAATTTTTAGTTTTTATTTTGTGAAATACGATGAATAATGTAATTTAGAAGTTAGACTTTAACCATTATTTGCTGGTCAATTGAGATTAGGGTTTTAAATTTGATTTTCAATTGAGATTAATATTTTCAGTTATAATAGATTATTTGCATATGATGGACCGTTGATTTTCAGTTTCGATGGCAAACTCTATACCCATTATTTGCTTCTTCAATGGGAGACTCGGCGTCGGAGTGAATAGCATGTCTATGTATGAGGGAGGTTCTAGAAAAATATTTATGCTATCTAAGTCATGTAATTTTGATAGAATGATGAAGGAAATGCACAAAGTTACTAAAATTAATAAAGAAGAATATGCAATTAAGGTGTTTTTTGGAATAATTACAGGTAGCAGCAATAGATGATGTTCAATCCATTGCAAATCATGGAATAGAATTGGCTCGAGCATTTAATATAGAATTAAATTTCAAATTTAGATTTCTATAAGTTGAATTTTAAAGTAATTTACCTATTTTGGATTTTTTGAATTATCTCTCATAGGTACATATCCCGAAGCACGGGAACATGTATCGATATATCAGTCGATAGCAAACTCACGAAGATCTTCATGATGGACAAGAGGTCATGCAACATGACAGTATCAATGTCGTATACACACGTCAACCACGACAAAGCCGAGGACGACGCATAAACGATGATGAAGCTGTACCTTTCCAACATGCACACGATGGAGTGACCGTCACAACCACAAACGCAACAGGATGACGAACTTGTCCAAGCTCGGGATGGAGGACGAAGACAGAGGAGGAGGAGAAGAGTTCTTGGATGTATGTAAACTAATCATTATTGTTATATACATTGCAAACCTATTTTGGTATGTTATTTGTGTCGTGTGATGAGAATGAGTATATTATGTTTTTATATCGATGTGAGATGGTTTTTAGATTTGTAAATGAGTTTGTGGTGTGATTTGTTGGATTTGTAAATGAGTTTGTGGTGTGATTTGTTCGATTTGTAAATGAGTTTGTGATGTGCTTTATGGTTTTTGGAATTGTAGATTAGTTTGTGGTGTGATATGAGTTGTTATTTACATTTGTACAAGAAATTAACATGGTTGTTGCACAAAGAACATGCACGGGACTGCTAGTCCCGTGCATTTCGGTTATTGCCCAGAAAATGGACGGGACTAGTAGTCCCATCCATTTCCTAGAAAAGAAGCAAAGTCTCTGTTTAAAACTCGGGAATGCTAGTCCCGAGTTTTAAGCAGAGAGTTGTGGCCTTTGGCACGAAGTCCCGTCCATTTGTTTTGGCATGCTAATCTTGGATTAGCATGTCTTAACTACACGGGAACTACTAGTCCCGTGTAGTTCGAAAAATTACCCACAATAAAATTAACCCTTTTCATCTTTAGTCGAGATGAGATGAAAAGGGTTGATTTTGCTGGGTTTTTTTTTTTTTGTGAGGAGGTCGATTTTGCTCATTAATTTTGCAATACGGTTGTTTTCAAAAATTTGTCCTAAATCCAACTTCTAACCTGAGCAGCGCTCGCACAAACTGTAACAGGCTCAAACTGTGAAATTGCAGTTGCTATTTCAACAAATGCACGTTGACCAAAGAGCGCATTCTCTCTCCAATTATCCGGGCGTTCCTGCGAATCCAATTTTAGATGCAAATTGACAATGTATTGACCTCGTTTTTTGGCCTAATTCTGTAGATATTTACAGAAATTGCAAGCCAGTTTAATTTATCAAACAAACAAGTATAAAAATATGGGTTTTTCAAAAAAACAAAGATTCATTTTGGTACTTAAACCATCACGTAAACAAAAGGACAGTTCCTGCCACCAAAATTTAAGGCCAGAAACATGAAAACACAAAACAATCCCAACATCAGAGTAGAATTATTATTAAAAAAGACAACTCAGACATACAAAATATGAAATTTTGAAAGAAAGCCAATTCAAAGAAGTGATTTTTTCCCCCAAAAAAGGGAAAAGCGAGGGGAAATAGGGAACATACAGGCCAACCCATCCAACACTGCTGATGGGGCTGCCACTCTGCAGGCATGCGATAACCCATCGCTGATGGGTTTCCTTCAAACTCCATGGCCATCTCCTTCGTCTCTCTGTTAACAATTAAATCTTTTCCTTTTCCTTTTTTTTAATTACCTTTATCTCTTATTAAACTAACACCGAGGCAGTCGTCTTGCTTGGTGACTCGTGAGAGAGGGGAGAGTGGTGCGCGGGGACCTAGGGAATCCAGAGGAACCGTCGTAAACGAAGGTCCCCAATTATTATTTTTATTGGTAAATAATGTCAGAGAAAAATGTGTCAAAGGCCCCCAAAAAAAGCTCCTGTGACACAACCCTTGAAGTTTTCCCCACGTGCTTTAACTCTGAAACACCTAAGAAATTGTGATCTAGCCTTTTTCACTCTCTCCCAAAAAATAACTCTAAAAAGTTTTGAAAATACCCCTTCCCCTTTTTTTCTTCCTTGTGTCTTTCTCCTCCTCTCTTCTAATTGATCATTTCTCTTCTTCTTCTCTCCTCCTCTCCCCTAACCATACATTCCCCCAAAAACTATACCCCTCAACCCTTCCCTCAAAAACTGACGTGCTCTCTATCCCCCCTCTCTATTCTCTTGCTCAGACTCCTGTAAGCTCAAGAGAACCCGAAAAAACCCTATATTTGAACTCAACCCTCCATAAGATCCCTCAAAAGTTTGTTTAAAAAGGTGAAAAATGACCGAATTTGGAGAAGGGTGAAGGAGACGACACCCACTTTAAAGTTATTCATCGTCGGCATCTCTCGAATCCGATGACAAAGGAGTCTCTTTGAGAATCATCCGCCTCCTCTGCATCGTTATCCCCCGCCGTCGATTCTTCTTCCGACGTCCGCCTCATTTGAGGATGAGGACAATAACGAGGCAACAGTGGCCCTATTGTGCATGAAAAGCGGACCGGATTTTATCCACCAAGACTCTTACGTTTGTGACTTGACTTGCATGTGTCGTTAGGTGAGAAGGTTACGTTCTCAATGCTACGCTCTATAACAAGTTTTTTTGAACTAAAATTTGATGTGTTCGAAAGACTGAAATTATCTCAAGATGATTTATCATTGATGTATAAATATTATAAATATGAGAAGCATCTGAATCTGAGTATTTTTGTTGATAGTGAAGATGATTTGAAGTGCACGATGGAGCATAATCAAAATAGTGGTTGTATAGAGATTCATATGCAAGCTGTTGTCAATATAGAGGGTTCTATTTTTAGAAAAAAAATTAGAAAGTTCTAACTGAAATGTAAGTAATCAATAAACTTTTTTTAAAATTGATCTTTGTGTGATATAAGTTTTGTGATTTCATGTTTCATAGCATAGACGAATCATAAATTAATGGTTACATGTTAACTCCTCCTGTCGTGTGTTAAGTATCATAGTATCTGTTAACTTTTACCAGAACATATTAACTTTTAGGGTTATCTATTGACTATCATAGTTATATGTTAACTTTTAACTGAACATGTTAGCTTTCTTCTTAGTCTGTTAACTTTTCTTACTGCATGTTAGCTTTCACTGTTTTATGTTAACTTTCACCCAAACATGTTAACTTTCCTCTTAGTTTGTTAACGCTCACACTGTTAACTTAAACATGAAGCTGTTAATTTAAAATATCAGAAGATAATATTATAGTTGACTTTAAAATCTGATTGGTTTATTAATTTGTGCAGCAGTGATACCTCTTTGAATGAAGAATATAGTCATACTCCTCCAGGAAATACTTCTAACTCAGAGAGGATCCCAAATAATTGCTCGTCTAGTGAGAATGTAATGAAATGAGATGATGTTCTCAACAACACTTCCATCATTCCTTAATGGTGACACATAACATTAACTGAAAGGGGTCAACCATTTAAAAATATAAATGAATTGAGCCTAGCTTTGTAATATTATTCTATAGCAAAAAATTTTGATTATGAATTTGCAAAGAATAGACCCAATGGTATCCGAGTTTAAGGTCGATATAAGAAAACAAATGAATGCCCTTAGATGCTATTTGCCTCTCCTGTTAAAAATAAAAAAGAATTGAAACTAAGAAGTTTATGAATGAACATAGTTTTGGACAACATAGTAACTTGTCAGGACGATCACAGGCATCTCGCAAATTCATAGCAGCCCAAATGCATCATACGTTGAAGGTTTTTCTCACCACTAGACTCTTACGTTTGTCGTTAATATCATATATAATTAACAGGTAATGCTCAAAGTTAACAGATTTATGTGAAGTTAACATGTAAGCCTAAAAATTAACCGTGTAAGCTAAAAGTTAACATGATACTGAGATAGTTAATAGGCAACACAAATAGACAACTTCAGCTAAACAAGTACATTATATTAAAATTCTTAGATTCTTACAACTGATATTACTTAAATACACGATATTATTTGACTTACAATCTTAGAGATTACAAAAATCTTCTATAATGTGCTATAAAAGTCTTAACAACCTATATTTCTCTACCAAAAGTATTCTACTAATAAGCAATTCATACTAATCACCAATTGGTTCGTTACAATTAGCTTGACTGTGACCTTCAGCTTTGCATCGAGAACATTCCAGTGGACGTTTAAAATTATTGTGTTGTTTATATGTCTAGCTCTATTTCTTCCCTTTCTTTTAGTAGTAATTGATGGTAATATCTTGACTTTATCTCTTGACACACTTCGATTCTCATAATCTGGGATGAGATAAAAGACTTGGTCATAGTTTTTTTTAAACGCTTCTACGAAGATAAAGAAATGAAAGTTAATAGGTTTGGGTAAAAGTTAACATAAAGCATTGAAAGTTAACATTCAGTAGGAAAAGTTAACAGACTAGGAGCAAAGTTAACACGTTCAGTTAAAAGGCGACATATAACTATGATAGTCAAAAGAAAACCCTAAAAGTTAACATGTTCTGGTAAAAAGTTAACAGATAGCTATGATACTTAACACATGACACGAAGAGTTAACATGTAACCGTTAAAGTTAATATTTACGATTCATCTATGCTGTGGAATCTGAAATCACAAAACGAACATCACACAGAACTAATTTTTAAAAAGAGTTTATTAATTACTTACATTTTAGTTAGAACTTTCTAATTTCTTCCAAAAACTAGAACCCTTTATATTAAAAACAACTTGCATATGAATCTCCATACAACCACTATTTCGATTATGTTATACCGTGTACTTCAAATCATCTTCACTATCAACAAAAATACTCAGATTCGGGTGTCTCTCAGATTTATTTATCAATGATAAATCATCTTGAGGGACTTTCAGTCTTTCGAACACATCAAATTTTAGTTCAAAAAAGCTTGCTATAGAACTTAGCATTGACAACATAGCTTTCTCGCCTAACGACACCATGCAAGTTAAGTCACAAATGTAAGAGTCTTGATGGATAAAATTTGATCCGCTTTTGATGCACAACAGGGCCACCATTGCCTCGTTACTGTCCTCATCCTCAGATGAGACAAACATAGGAGAAGAAGAACCGACGGTGGGGTATAACGATGCAGAGGAGGAGGCAGACGATTCTCAAAGAGCCTCATTTGTCGTCGGATCCGAGGAACGCTGACGATGAACAACTTCGAAGTGTGTGTCGTCTCCTTCACTCTTCTCCAAATTGATTTTCAGCCATTTTTCAATTTTTTAAACAAACTTTTGAGGGATCTTATGGAGGACTGAGTTCAAATTTAGGGTTTTTTTTTTGTTCTCTTGAGCTTACAGGAGTCTGAGTGAGAGAAGAGAGAGGGGAGACAGAGTGCGCATTAGTTTTTAGGGGAAGGATTATGGGGTATAGTTTTTGGGGGAATGTAGGGTTAGAGGAGAGGAGGAGAAGAGAAGAAGAGAAAAAATGAGCAGTTACGGGAGAGGAGGAGGAGAAAGACACAGAGAAGAAGAAGAAGAAGAAGAAGAAGAAAAGGAGAAGGGGGTATTTTCGGAACTTTTTGGGTTACTTTTTGGAAGAGAGTGAAAAAGTGCTACATCACAATTTCTTGAGTCTTTTGGGGTTAAAACACATGGGAAAATTTTCAAGGGGTTGGGACACAAGAGCTTTCTTTTTTTGGGGCATTGACACATTTTTCCCATAATGTTATCCAACTAAATAATAGAAAATTAGGAGACTTCATTATTCAAAAGTAAAGAGCATTACTAATTTAGTAATGTTAATTAGGACAACAATATTTCAATTAAATTTCCTCCACATTCTATGTCATGCATGCATCCTGTAGAAAAAAGCTGGTGCCTTAAACGTTCACTAAAAATATTTCAATGTTAGTACATCTCTCTGTGCTCTTGCGAATCACCAAGCGAGATTGCAATTGTTACTTTCTTTGACCGAAAAGAGATTTTTTTTAAAATAAGGCTTTGTTTGACATTAGTCTCTTTAGTATTTGGAAATTAGTCTCTCAAAATCATTAAAATTACTATTACTTTACCTAGTTCTTATATCTTATGATATTGCTTTTGTCAGAGGGAAAATAATTTAAGGTTAAGTTGTAGAAAATCCATGAATTTCAAAATTTAAAAAACCTTTAACTTTAGGGGTTATCATAAAAGTCCTTTTAACTTTAACTTTTTATCAGAAAACTCTCTTAATAGCGCTGACTATAAGTTTCACATGAGATGGGTAAAATCACATATGAGTATATTTTTACCAGTAAAAATTGTGGTTCACATTTTTAGAGGGGGTTTCCTAAAACAATCTTAAAAGTGAATTGGAGTTTCTTATAATCCCTAAATATAATAGCAATGTTTTGATATTTTGAAAAGTTATAAGGGTTATATGATTGTCCTAAGTTAAGGGAGTTTTTTGATATTTTTGAAGGAATCTTTCTCGTTATGTGATAATCATCGCAAACAAGAATATTACAGTTTCATTGTCTTCCTCTGCCTTGGCCTTTTCCTGTTTTATCTTCCCTTCCCTCTCTAATAAACTCCCAAACACAGTGCAAGAGGAGCAGAATGTGATGGAGATGAAGACAAGGATGGAGTTGACAAGGAAGGGAAGATAACCGCCAAGCAAGATTGGCATTGTAATGCATGAACAACAAGGTCTCAAAATTGTATGTTTTGATTCTCCCTCAAAAGCTTGTTTTTTTCGCTCTGCAAATTTACTTTAAAATTTTCTATTTAACTTGTTACTAAGTTTGTAGAAAAAAAAATACCAAATTGATATATTTTATTTACTCTTAGTGACAATTTGATATATATATTTTTTTTTCCGGCAACATATTAGTATATTATTTTT